TTTAACTCCAGTTAGAATTCCACTTGCAACTTGCCGGTATTTAGGTAGATTGTACAGGGTGTAACCTGGGAATTGGTAGTACTTCAGTTTGTCATCCGAAATGTTAGCTTCCATAATTGTGAAAATGTCTACATCATAGGTTTGTAGGATTTTCTGTACTTGGATCTTTTTGTCCGGAGACATTCCTCCAGCATTCCACTGGAGGATCTGAAGACATTGTGATTCGCCCTGACGAGAGCGATTTTTCTTATAGCCTTTTTAAAGCTAATCATAATAAATAGAAGTCAAATCAAATGCCGAGTGAAGATACGTTGTCCAGGGTGCACCACGTGGAAGTAAGTCTATCGCGCACCCCGCATTTGACAATATAATTTATCTTTGATTACGACTTTATTTTAATAATTGATTGCTCGAATTTCCATTAAATCAAATGCTCAGTGCTCGAAAGTTATTTTTCGCTGTAAAATGAACAAACTGATTTGAGTAGCTTGTTTTGCTGATTGTTGCCAATAATCCGGTTTTACATGAAATAATAGCAAAAGTTTCGTGTAATTGACGGAGAAATCTAAAATAATCACTAAAATAAGGACATTCGTGTAAATGGAGTTGATAACCAATGCCATTGTTGTTTTCAAATCTAGGCTGGAAACAGCAACCGAGGTGTATTTGCCACCCGGACTCTCATGAGTTGCCTAATCGGCACACTCAACCAACTCCGAACATAAGGTTAGTAAATCATTCTGATCTAATAAAAAATTAGAAATGGAGAGTTAAGGGTACACATCTACTGCTTCTGAATGGTTGAGCATGACATCTCTCCACTACATTACGAAAATAAAGTATGTACCGGTCATGTATTTAATTGGCGATTAGTGAGTGGTCGGGATGTCACAAATATCGAACAAAGTAGATTATTAAAGCATAATAAAAGGTAATTGACTGCACAAAATATAAAAAAGCTAGCGAATAGCAAAAGAGCTTCATTTTAATTCAAAGATAAATACGCCACATAGAGACAAGTGGATAAAAGAAGAAGGCACAATAGCATAAGCTGATAAACAAATGGATTGATTAGTCACTTTCATCATCTGAGTCACTATCACGCTTACGATGACCAACACCATTACGAATTCTAGTAACATTTATTAATTTCTTGCCTCGAAAGTCATCTTCGTTTGGATCATCAAAAAAGTCATCATCTGCATTGGATGAGCGAATGACGCCGACCTTAGCTAGCCGCTGCTCCAAATCTATAGTTTCAAGAGACAAGATCTTAAAGACGGTATTAACACTATAGACAAGACAAGTATCAAATTTAAACTGACCCTTAATGGAACAAGGATGGCCACCAAGAGCTTTGATTCCAACGTACTGAGTTTTCACTTCACCTTCATAATAAACAATAATCGTGGGTAAATTAGAATCAGGGAAGTTTGGGACACAAAGTGCAGCCTCTCCACGAAGAAATTTGACAGCAGGATACCGAGCGGCAAGAACTCGTAAGTGTTGGTCAATAACGGCACATTTCTCGTTTCCCTTGTAAGCTAAGTGCACTACTACATAGACACCCTCTCCGGCGTTATTAACAGCCTGGGTCCAATCAGCCTTGTTAACTTCACCATAAGTGCCGAATTTTGCTCTAAGAGCTGCCTGTTTCATTTCTTCAATTCGTTTCTGGCGATAAAGCTCGAGGAACTTTACATCTTCCTCTATTTCATCACCACCCTGGTCTTCCAGAGCCTCAATCTTGTCAGTCAATTCATTGTAATTCATTCGCTGGACAGCATTTCGACCTAAATAAAATAAGCCATATCGATTTCGATCGAAACTTACGTTGTGTTTCTGGAGAAGGTGGAGGAGTTTCTTCTTTGGGTTTTGGAAGAGCAGGCAGAATACCCTTCTCACGCAAGATAGCGTTAAACTCCGTGTCTTCTACGCTGTTAACGTCCTAATACAAGGTCAAAAAAGTATCAATAAGGCATACCACGTCAATATTCATGACAAACAGATGGCAGTCGGACCTATTCGTACTAAGAGAAGTCAAGTTAAGTAACAAAACAAGCTCTAAGTATAATTTTACAAATTTATACAAATTCACTGAGAAAATTATTTAGACCTTTTTATTTAACTCAAAATTTTTATTCTATGTTATTTAATGAAAAGTCACCTATTATTAATTGAAGTCCTCCGCATCACACTTGCTTCTGTTGAATGGGAAAGAGTTTTAATTTTTATCTAAAAACAAATTAGATATTTGAATGATATCAGCTGTTGAATGGAAGTCTGGTGAATTTCGAATTTTTAAGGCAAATTTGTTACTTTGCCAATTAATTAATTATACTCACTCTACAAATCTCGGAACCTAATAAATAATACATTTTTAAATGAAATATATAACTTTTTTAAAAAAAGAATTTCATTCACATAGATAGACTGAATGATAATTCGACTGAATCAGCTTTATCGATCAGATCCATCGGAGCTCTGCTAAGATAAAGTTTTTTCTCTACTACTTTAACCACGATAAAGCTCTGAATCGTGTAATCACGTATTTAATCTCACTTTTCAATCATTATAAATCCGTCTTTATTTTTATAAATTCTTGGTCAGTGACATTGGCATAATTGTCTAAAAGGTAGTAATTTTTTAAAAAGCTAAATTTAGATTTCTTTGCTACTCGTTTAATTAATATTTAAAATTATTGAGGATATCCCAATTTAAAGTAGTCAAACGAAACATTCCTCTTTAAGATAATAGAGATAAGCTATTAAATTTTTTTCCATATCACATAATAGTGATAATGCCTTAAAGGAAGGCTGCTTGGATGTCGTTATTTTTAAGTTTAAGAATTAAATTTAAAGGCTAAACCTGAATCCGAGTACTTTTTAGCTTGAACGAAATGAAATTAGTGGAATTTGAGATTGAACATGTTAATGAGGAGTTGCAGGCACAGGTATTACGATAATTTGGTACTTCAGCCTCAGCCAACTCGATTACTCTGCCTAAATGCATTCTTTTTGCTTTTGCCGCCCATTCAATTAGCTGTATGGAAACACACCGACAATCAATCTTTTATCTATGATTGTCGGAATGCAATAGTTTGCCACACTTATTTATTCGGAAAAATTTGTGGATGTGGAAGCCTCATTTTTCAATACTTATCAATTTCTCATCGCCTTTGGGGTTACTTTAATTAGTATTGGACTTAATATTTATTAATAACGATTAGAAATTGCCCAGAACTATGATTGCATAAGAGATTATTAGTACAACTTATTACAATTGGAAAAAAAGGAAAAATAATTTTTAAACTTTCTTAATAACTGTGAAATCAACATACGTATTAGGTCTAAAAACAGAAGTAGATTAGATAAATGTAAGTAATGATATTATAACATCAATTCTTTTTTTCCAAAACTTTATTTGTTGAATTTCCACATTCATTTAAAAAACTTAATTTACTATTCACTATATTCAAGTTTAAGATCGGACTCCCAGACTTTAGAATGGTGATATATCCATGACATCCAAAGCCTTTGACAAATAAAGTCAGTATCATGTTTTGTAACTCATCTCGATTCCTTTTACTACTTCAATTATACATTTTAGCTATATGAACCAATCAAAATATTTTAGTAAAACACCGTTCTCATCTGATTTTTAATAAGTTCAGTATTATTTTCCATTAAAATTATGCATATTTTAGAGAATTGGTAGTTTGTCATTTATTAAGATGAAGTTATGTCATCCAACAGTCAATAATGGCCTTGTATTACCACATCTACACAAAAATGAATATCGTATGAAAATGATTGAACACGTGATTTTTTGAGTCGAATAAGATTTATAAAATAAATATAAGAATATAATGCGCAAGATGACTGCTTTATTGATAGAAATGACTGTGATAATCAATCTTTTACAATGTATGTGTAGACTCAGTGTTTATCCAAATATTATCTAGGTCTTACGAGACCCTGATTATTCACCCAGCTGAGATAAAGAAATGCTTAGGAAATGGTGACTTCACATCAAAGTTTTAGTAGTGGCATTTATTTAATACCTCTGATATTTCATTATGTGCTTCTATTTGTTCATATGGGTTCTCAAAATGTTAGGCTAAGCAGTCTCATGCATTTCTTACTTACATTTAAGCAAGTTCTACTGACTATTGGGGCAACTAATTCTCTGATAAGCGACTGTGATTGCGCAATTCTGTAAAGTTTTACTTATAGTTATGACATTGTCAGAATTTCCTAGCATACAAGTTTCGCTGAGTTCTACTCACACTTAATCCTTGCCTAGTATTTCGAAGTAGTCTAATTTAAGGTGTAGGATCAAGATGGAAGCCGCAATTTTATTTTGATTATAAGCTCCTTTCCAGCGCTCTGGTTTGGAAGTTACTCCAAACATTCCCGCTATTTTTACACCTTTCAAATTTTTCATAATTTCTTTAATCTTGATTGTTTTATTTCTTCTACCACGGTGCTTCATTCTTACATGCATTAACACCACACTCATTTTTATCTCTAAAGCCTTCTGACCACTTTATTGGACTTTAATTTTCTCTTTCCGGGGTGTGCGATAGACTTGTATCCACGCAGTGCAGCCTTGGCAACGAATACTCATACGGCAAAAAGGTATATAAACCGGCAGTTGACTTCTAACTTCAAACTACCATGACCTCACTGCATGACATATTCGACCACTTCTACAGCACTCATCTTACCTTTACCTTTGCGTCTGTTTGGCTCTTTTACATCTGTTTATCACTCTTCTGCTCCCCACCCTTCGACACTCTGTTACTTTGATGTTCCTCCTCCTCTCTATGAAGCCCAAAGTCGGCTAAAGGGCTAAGGATAACTGTCAAACGCCTGCCATTTGAAATAAATAAGGACTCTTGATGATATACCAAATCGTCACGGCCATCTTCCCTTTCCCATAGTTGAAATAAAAATGAGATTGAAAACTGAATCAATAGGAACTAAAATCAGGTATCAGATTGCTGACAGCCTCTACGTGTACAGTCAGTTGAATAAGCATTTAATCATTTATACGTCGACTTCCCATATTTACTCCCTTGTCTGAATTCGTAAATGAGCTGTATTCGTGTCGATTTTCTTGCTGGCCGATATTATATACCGAGAGATTTAATAAATAAGCTGATGTAAGTCTTAGTTGGAGGGCGAGAACTTTGGTTTGTTATAATCACTCGGCGTTGCGTACACAGACCAAGAGTCCTGTTTATCAGGGCGTGGGGTGATTGAAAAATAAATAGTGATTAGATTACTGCTACTGTCAGAGAAGTGAGAGGCGGATCTGATTCAATACAGCTAAATACAGTCTCTCGGATAGTTAAAAGTGCAGAAAGTCAATAGAGTTGGGATGAAATATCAGGCTACAAAGCAAGTCACCCACCACAGTAGTAGTTAATTCTTATTTCAAAATGAGCTGCAAACCTTACAAAATGACAACACAGGGGTGAAATACAAGCATATGAGAAATGATAGTCTTGAGTTAGAACACAGGAAGGTGCAGGGAGATGAAAGACAGTCCCTCTTTTCAAAGAGGTGCAACAAACAACAATCGCCACCACTACCACCACACTTACGGTCTTGTTTCTATTCACTCTACACACACACTGTACAAGATCACCGTGTTAATGAGTCCCAGCAAAATGCGATGGCTGTTGATTACTGCTGGTGGTGTAACTTTGGTGCAGAAGAGGGGTTCGCGGACCTGGGAAGTTTTCCACGTTGCCACTCTCTGTTCTAGGCACCGGAATCCGCCCACTTTCTGCAATATCCTCTCCTTGGGGTAATGTAATCGATTCAGTTGAGTTTGAAGACATGCCATCTGGAGAAATAAAAAAGGGAATAATAAAATAGCCCGTTCCGCAATAAATGAAGTAATATAGCCAAGGATATCAACTTCGTATAAATGAAGAGGCCATCAGACACTTTATACAAGAAATATACATGCAAATAAGTTAATACTGAAATTTCCATACTCCAAAAGGATATTTCTAGTTGACTGACAAGTAATTAGTCAAGGTTACACAAGAGGGAACTAAACTACAAAAAAATTAAACTGAAATTAATCTCTCTGTTACAGGATTCAGATGTCATTATCTTCCATAAAGATTACAGCTGTACAAAATTGGAAGAAAGTGGGGAGTAAAATTTAGTCAAAAAGATCTCAGAAAAAATAACATCTACCAGAATCTTAGAAATCCCAATTGAAAAAGCCACACTCGCTTAATTACAATAATAGTTAAAATTCTAGTCGAGATTTTACTCAAAAAAAAACAAACTCCCAAATCATCTGACTTAGATCACATAATATGAGATGCACTAACATACATAGAGCCAACAAATCTAAACCCGCATTCAGAGAGAACTCTAAGAACAAAACAGTAATCAATGCAGAATACCCTTTCCATAGTCAATGAATTAATGCTGTGAATAAAGTGAACGCGGAAAAGATTATTAAGAGTCATGACTACCACCGTTAGCATTAAAAATACACATAAGTGCAAACTTCAAAGAAAGCATCAAGTATTGGAGGAGGAGGAGATAGGGGTGGGGGGGGGGGGGGGGAGGGCGGAGATGGAGGAGATCTAAGAAAATTACAAGGGGAAATCGAGCCGATGACGTAAATGTGCGACAGTTGGGTCAGTAGGGAGAAATTGAGACAGAATAACGAAGAAAAATGAAGGACCAACTCAGTTTAGTAACAGTTGAAAGAGAATGCCAAAGTAGGCATTGAACATCAGGGGGGGGGGAGAGGGGGGGGGTGTCCCCACTTAACACTTGCTTGCCACAAGGCAAATCGAATCGCTAGTCAAAATGCTAATTTCTTCCCATCGAGCGGTTAGTGATACACACAACGCAACATGAAAAAAACGACATACATCACATATGCTCCTCGCAAACTGACTCGAGTATTCGTTTAGATGAAAGAGGACTTGGAGGCATGAATCAAACGAACGAGTATACA